AGCATCATCCCAATGGGTAAAATCACTCTAGCAATAAAGATGGGAGTTGTACCTCTGATAGCTCACCACTTCACCATCGATCCACTTATCATGGAGTACTTGGGAAACCTACTCTAAAGTAACTATGGGTTGTCACTTCCATCCACCATTTATGTATGAAGTTTCCAACAGAAAATGGCATATCCACAGTTATAGGCAACCAAGAAAATGCCAGGGTTTGCTACTCCAACTCCATTAGAAAAGTTGAACCAATGGATGTCAATATCGTTCTAATGGAAATCCACTTAGATTTCTCCTATCTTAACAAAGCCTACGCAAAAGACAACTTCCCATTTTCTAGGATAGATCAATTAGTTGATTCCATTGTTGGGCATAAGTTGTTAAGCTTAATGGATGCTTATTCAGGCTACAATCAGATTCCAGTGCACACAGTAGACGAAGGAACATACGTCCTTCATAACAGACCAATATCTATATTGCTACAGAGTAATACTCTTTGGGTTGAAAAAAGTAAGGGCCACTTCTCAAAGACTAGTCAACAAGATGTTTGCTGACCTCACTAGGAAGACCATTAAGGTATATGGGGACGAATGCTGATAAAAAGTATGAAAGTTAAGGATCACGTCAAACACCTCGAATAGGTCTTTCAAATACTTCAAAAATATAGAATGCGACTAAACTTCTCAAATGTGCTTTTGAAGTGGCTTGAAGAATTTTTTTGGGCTACATGGTGAACCAAAAGGGGATTGTAGCCAACTCAGAGAAGATCAAAGCTTTGATAAAGATGAGGTCTATGAAAAACACAAAGAAAGAATAGAGCCTCATAGATCGAATAGCAAATTCAACCAGCTTTGTTCCAAAGGCTACTAATAAGTGTTTGTCGTTCTTTAAATTTCTAAAAGGAGGAAATAGATTTCAGTGGACAAAGGAATATAAAAAAGCCTTACAGGCGATGAAGAAGAACATGGGACAGGCTCCTCTTCTCTCCAAACCCAAATGTGGACAGCCTCTGATATTATACCTCGCGATGACCACCGAAGCTATCAGTTCAGTGCTGTTAAGAGAGGAAGTGGATCATTAGCTACCTATAAAAAATATAAGCAAGGCACTGTTTGCTGCGAAGACCCGTTATCTTATATGGAGAAGCTGGCTCTAGCTCTTATAACAGCTTCGTGAAAATTAAGGCCATACTTTTAGGCCCATGCCATACGAGTATTGACTAATTTCTCTCTCAAGGAAGTATTACAGAATCCAGATGCCTCGGAGAGGTTACTCAAATATGCTGTGGAACTTAGTCAGTTTGACATTGCTTTTAAAGCAAGTAATATTGTTAAGGGGCATGCCTTAGTCGATTTTGTGGTAGAGTTTACCCCCATTCTAGAAATTGGAAGATAAAATAGAACCTGTCGAACCCCCTACGCGGAAATGAAGAGGATCATTATCAATGATGACGCCCAATTGGTTGTTAGCCAAGTGAGTGGCAAATTTTTAGCTAGAGACAAGAGCATGACTGTTTATTTGAAGTTGTTCATGGAGTTCGTCCTAATTTTTAAAAAGTTTGAGTTAACACAGATCCCATGTTGTGAAAACTCTTATGTCAATGCTCTTTTAGAGTTGGCGAGTAGTAAAGACTCTGAAAGGTAAAGAGGTAATGTGGGTAGAAGATACTCCCTTGTGGATGAAACCAATCATAGCTTTTCTAAGAGATCAAATCCTACCCTTTGACAAAGAGAAAGCATAGAAGTCCAGGAGACGAACCACACACGTCATTTGCCAAGATGAGGTATAGTACAAACGAGGTTATTCGATGCCTTTGCTCTGATGTACATGTGGAGAAAAAGCCGCTTATTTGTTCGAAGAGATACACAAAAGGATATGCGACAATCACTCTTGGAGATAGTCTTTACCACAAAAAGTGTTAGAGCAAGGACACTATTGGCTGACCTTTAAAAAGATTCTCTACAGTTTGCAAAAATGTGCAACAAGTATCAACGCTTCACGGCATCCCATAAGCAACTTTCATAGGAGCTAAGTGTTGTTTCTAATCCCTGGCCGTTTGCTAAATGGGGTATCAATCTCATTGGACCCTTGCCGAAAAGGAGAGGCAGTGCTAGTTTCGCAATTGTCGTTATCGACTATTTCACTAAATGGGTTGAGGTTGAACCGCTGACCAAGATAACTTAAGCAAACACTTCCAAATTCTTGTGGAAGAATATATGCTGATTTGATACTCCACACTCAATGTTCTCCAATAATAGACAGCAATTCGATAACAAAAAGGACAGGAACCTATGTGAAGAGTTGTGAATCAAGAAACATTTTTCTTCTCACTATCAGCCATAGGCTAAGGGACAGGTGGAAGCTATTAATAAGAAAATCAAATATACTTTTAAGAGAAAACCGGATGCATCAAAAGGGGCTTAGGTTGATGAGCTACCTCGGGCTAGTCAAATAGCCGCAGGGTAGACTCCTTTCTTCATGACTTATGGGGGCTAAGACAAGGAGTTCAGTTGAGGTGGGCCTACCATCTCCTCATCGTATTTATTTTAATGCAATATCAAATGACGAACTAAGGAGGTACGAACTATAATTTCTTGAAAAAAGGAGAGCTGAATCTTAGGCAAAGTTAGCTACTTATGAGCAAAAAATTACTACATATTACAATTGAAAAGTTAAAGGTTCGTCTTGACCATTGATTTTAAAAACAATTTTTCAAATAAATGGATGTGATGTTTGTCAATTCATGCATTGTAAATTAAGTTATAAAATAAATTGTACAAATAGCATGATTAGATTTAGAAATACGTATTATTGAAGTTTCAATTACTATCTTAGAGTGCCAAATCGCTCGTAGAATTGGATGTCACTTTCAATAAATCAGTGACCATTTATGTACCTTTAAATAATTTTAATGACTAAATGAAACAGAAAAATACTTGAAGGAGCAACTTGGTATCCTCACAAACTTTATTGACGATTATGAAATTAATAAATATTGTAATGACCTATTTAGCCCTCTAACCCACTTGTTCTGGAAATCAACCAACGTGGCGTGTCTGTGATCCGACAACACGTAGCTAAATAAGTCGGTTATTTTATCTTTCTCCCACTTCACAGAGGTTGGTACCCACACGTATAAGCCAATCAGATTTATTCACGTTTGATTGTCATCCCGATACACGTGGTGTGCTGTTACGAAATTATTCTTCATATTTAGCTCTGCCCAAATCCTTTATAAACTCTCGAGCAGGCACTTTGAGGCTTTATAGACAATGAGATAGATATTTTGGATGGTGAGAGATAGAAGGGCGGTGGGTGAGGATTTTCTAGTTAAAAATGGTCTCGAAAAAACTTCGGAATGGACGTCGATATTCTCCGTCCGCACGTCAACTTATCCACCAAATGTGATTGAGTTCACTCTTGACGAAAAAAAAGTCATATCAAAAGAACTCTGCAGAATAACCCTTATCTTGATTAGTGGGTTGGAATGCTATTAGACAAAAGTCACCAGAGAAAGCATCAATGCTAGGAGATATTGTACCTACATAAGGTGGATGACAGGTATGTCATATTTTGCTGTGTAATTTGAATAATTGCTTATTTTATTGAAAGTTCAATTTATGTACGATTGATTGACATGTCTGTATTGTTGAACATGATAATTGTCATAATAATTTTGGAACCTTTTTCCAAAGTAATTGTGTTACTCTTTTATTTAATTTCTTCTATCAATAACAAAACTCCTAGTCTTGGTGATTCGTTGATTTATTTCATGCGAGTTTAATAGAAAATATATAACCTATATTTAATTCAGTTAAAAAAAAATTAAAATAAATTTACGTCGAGACTAATCATTAATTTTAACTATATATTTCATTGCACCAGTAAATTTTATCTATGTATTTTATGAACTTTAATCAAAACGTACTAAAAACTCAATTTTAACAAAATCAAATAGAGATATATCAATAACTTATATACGTGCATGCATGTAATATATTTTCACGTAGGATATTTATTTTTTCAAAAAAGCATTATTCTATCAAGTTGGCCATTATCTTTTTTTTTTTTTTTTTTTTTTGAAAAAGTAATTAACACACGACCTTAAAAGTTTTTAGGATCTTGATTTTCTATGGAAGGTATATATTGGCGACGTAATAGAAAGGACATGCACTGCATGGGAAGAAGAGTACGTTTAGTTTTGATTAAAAGTTACTTCTGGAAGTGAATTAAAATAACTTTTAGAATAAAAGTAAATACAAAAAATAGATAAGAGTAAATAAGTTACTTAAAAGTAAATTTGATCAATTAAACACAATCAAACATTCTTGCATTAAGGATAGATTAGTACTGACAAATAATATCATGACAACAAGATAACCTAACGTTACAAATCTAATGGAGAATCAACGTCCTGCCAAATTAAAAAAACATGATAATTCATTTGAGAATTTAATAAGTGGAGACTTGACCTACCATTTTTTATTTTTATCTTTTTCCAAATTTTAATTGCTAACAAACATCAGAATAATTATTTTCTTTCAAACGCTTCTATCAATGAGCATTATTCTACCTTTTAACTTGACCAATTAAATTTTTCTCAATATCTGAAATGTCATCAGGCCATACATGTGTCCTCATCCTGGGTGCCTCCATGGCTCTTTGATAGCAGCGACCTTGTAGGAATTCAAACCCGCAAACCGCACCTACCACGTGAAGAACACGATATACTTGAGGGTGGAATTTTTTTTATATATGTGATAATCTTATAGTCTCTACTTGATTTATTACATTGAACATGTTAATTATATATATTTAGTAATTTCGAAAATAAAAACTATTTTTAAGTATATATTAAGCATGAAGGATATTTTGAATGGACATATTTGCTATACTTAAGAAGATACTGATAAAATTAACAAATCTCCAGATTATATTATAAGTAAATAAATAAGGTTTATGAAAACTAGCTATGCAAGATATCTGATCTTTATAAGTAAAGAAATAATTTCTGCATGAAAATATTTACGAACATTTGAATAGAAATAAAGGGAAATGCAACTTCAGTTCCTTCAAAATTGCTAGTTGATCCAATTAAATTAAAGGACCAATTGTTGTAAACGTTACTAGAGCGTAAATTGTGAAAATGGGATTGTGGAAGAGCAATACAAACTTCGTACTGCTAGGTGAAGCAGCACAAATCTTGCATCTTAGATTATGAAAGTTCAGTAGTCGAAAGCATTATTGATTTATGCTATGATCCAAGTGAAGTCGTAATAAAGTAGGTGATTTAATAAGGTAGAGCAATATTATCTTTTCGGAGAGCATTTTTGTGCAGAAATATGAACAAAAAACATGCATGCATGCAATTATTTAGTTTGACACAAAAATAAAAATTAATTCTTAAATAAATAATTCACTAGCAGGAAGAAAATATTAATTTGAATAAACGTGGATAATTAATTTTTCTTAAAATTCCTTGTACTTGATTTTATATTTCAGCCAAACATCCCAGAATATCATGTGCATGTTTGTTTTGTCTCGTGATCAAGAAATTCAAAAGAGTGAATATGATTTCACGCGTTGAAGAAGAGCGTGAAACAGCAATAAACATCAAACAACATAAACGTATGCCACGCGTTCTTTTTCTGGAACCTCCCACCAAAAGCATCCCCACTTTGCTTCCCTTAGGTACATACGTGTCCCATCTTTTTCGGAGTGCAGGAAACGTGTACAAACTCTGATTGGTCGAAATGTGCTGGCCAATTAGATCACTATATTTCGTTGGATACGCTGCTTTAGTTTGGGACCCACCTGATCCGACCCCACCAATCAACTCTCGTTACTGTTTGAGTTTTGCCTTGACACGTGATGAACCCTAAACTGATGATTATCGGCGGTAAGTTTTCTCTCTTATAAGGCGAAAATATTGCGGAAAATAGCTTGTCGAGAAGGATGGGTGGCGGAAAGACCTGGTCCGCCGTAGGATTTTCCGGCGGTGGTGCTTATGATACGACGATAATTAATTTCTATATAGGCATAACATTTCTTAGTTTCTTTTTAGTGTCTAAAGAGCACTCTATTTGTACTTGTGACATCCGTCGTTGACTTTTACTCGTTCTTTCTCGCCGTCCAAGTTTCTTTTCAATTCAAATTTACATCTAACCATTCGGTACAAGTTATTAGTCATAGTTGAGTAACATAAGTTTACACTTTTCCTAACTCACAATTATACATAAGCAAGACTAATTACACTATGCTTCCAATTTTTTATAACGATAACTCGATGCAAAAGATTCCATTCTATACATATTTCCGTGCATAAGATATGGTTACCTATTGTTTCTTTCTTTGTATATATGTATATTGAATTTTTCAGTATATGCAGAGCACTCTGTTTTTACTTTTCATGAATTATTGCATATCAAATCACAAATGTCTTTTTCGCTAAAGGTTTTTTTCTTTTCTTCTCGAGAACGATATAATTAGTATATTTATTAAAAATGGAACTGAATTTTGTCCCGGTGGTTATAATAACGTTGTTAAGACGTTGGTTTCACTCAAAGTGAAAGAACTAAAAGTTTGCTAGGAGTACTTGAGGAATACATATAATGTATAATATTTCAGTATCTATAACTTCTAACGTTTTATTAACATCAAATGATCCATAATCTAGCTTAGAAATGTAAGATTAAGTTGAATTAATTCATTTCAAGTTCTCTTGCCAGATGGCACTCTCCGGCATTTGTATGTTTGTATGCACCTATGTATGTCAAACACGTGTATTATGAAAGTTGATGGAATATATGGTTGAATAGTTATGATTATCATGAAATGTGTGATTAAAATTAATTATTAATTATTAATTTAGATTTTAATTAACCTTTTAAGCTAAACCAAATATGGACTTAATAAATTATCCACAAATTGCCCCCGGATTAACTATACATTTTTAATAAAATAATATTACACGCAAATTTAAATTTTTCTTATTTTTAAAAATACATTTTTATTAATACACTTCAAAACTGCATTTTCATGAAAATAATGTGGCTGGAAGAAGGGCATAATTTAATTTTTTAATAAAACCAAACTAGATTAAACGACTAATGTATAATTTTTAATTTCCAATCAACATTCTCTGTCATTCACTCCCTACGCTAAATCCATTCTCCACCCTCATCCCTAAAACCCTTATCCACCCCAAAGCGTGAGATCGTTATCCCACCCCACCCAACTCAAGCTAGTTAATACGTGAGTGGGCTATCTGAAGCCCAACAAACAACGTGTCAGAATAATGGAGGAAAATTACGCAATAACCTATGTCAACTCCGTGTAGTTCTCTTCTTAGAGGGCCCTACTTTTACTGTGCATGCATTCTTGCGTGTATTAAATAAAATACCTAATAATTTTCATAGTAAACATGAATAGCTTGTTAATATTTATATATTTTATCCTATGCTTGTCTCTCATTTTTTAAAAAAAATTATTTATTCGAAACTCATTTTCAATCGTACATTTTTTCATAAAATAATTCTATTCGTAAATCGAAAATTCTTCGTTTAATTATATAAATATTTTTATAATAAATAAATTGTATTATATTAGTGAAAAATAAAATTACTTATTTTAATAGTGAGAGAGACAAAAATGTTTAATTAATATATTAGTGAAAAATATAAATATTTTTTTTATTTTTTGGGATTCTATGTATAATTTAATATATTACTTATTCATATAAGGAAACAATTAACTTATTTAGACTATGAAATGGGTCTTATTATAAAAATAAGTAAGTTTTTCTCTATATTTAATCTCAATAAAAAGAGTATTTGTTAAAACATATTTATTTATAAATTAATCTGATTATAAGTATAATTTTGAAGTGAGCCAAACAGGAATAGGAAATAAATTCAATTTCTTTGGACCTTTGAATTCCTAGTTTTCCTCACCTAGTGTGGGATTTTATACTCATGGTGAATGCCTTTGGTATGGATATGCGAAGTCCATAGTATTTTAAGAACAGTAGTGTGCAATGATGTATTTTTAATTGTGTATTTTTGCTAAAACTTTTAGTTATTTGGAAAGATCGATTTTCAAAGTTCTTTGAAACAAAACACATTTCATATTTTCTTAATTTTTCATTCGTTGATATATATTCTTGGCTTACATGTATCATGCTTTTGCCAGTTTAACCATCCTAAGGTGAGCATCGATCTACTATTTGGTAAGGAAAGTTAAGAAGATTTAGTGGAACATCTTAGGTTGGACGTTTGGACTTGTACTTCATTGAGTGCTTGACACTTTGTCATGGATGTTGCGTGAGTTCCTTCCGAATTTTTATAATTTTAGCTCACCACAATGTTATTTTCTAGCTTCGCATCTTTAGTGGATATATATATGTATATGTGTATATATATTATTTGCTTATGTCTATGATGCTTCTGCTAGTTTATATTTTCGAGTTGAGCGAGGATTTTGTATTTGGTAATGAAGGCTAGGAATATCTAGTGGAACATTTTTGGGTTGGAATTTAGACCCAAGTGTTTGACAATGTTTGTAATAATTGTTAGGACCTTAGTCTCTTAACTCGATCTCTTATGATGTGAGTTCATTTGTAAGTTCTCAAAGTTGAATCCATCCAACATCATTTTGTGAATTCATCCCTGATCACATGCAATCCAATTAGGAGGGTCGATACATACGTTGGTACAACAAAAATATATATCTCGTTTTCTATATGAAACAAACGCAAAGTCATGACAAAACTTTAATCCTTCTTAAATTAAACTCAAAAAATTATGTTTTCGTCGGACAAGTTCTTTTGTTTTTAATGACTTTTAATCAAACTACCAAACAAATTGTTAGGAATTTTTTTTAAGCAATTAAAAGAAACAATTACAGAGTAAGACACAAGAACTTTGACAAATCATCTATTCCATGGCAAGAGCCCCCGTGCACTGAAACCACTTCTATCTTTCTTTGTTTATACAAGAATCAGATAAGTGTAACTAAACCTAGAATAATCACCATCCAAAAGGAAGGCCTTGAAATGATCTATTCATTGTTAACAAATGCCCCAAAAATAAATTATACTTTGAATTTTAAGATCAAAAGTATGAGAAAATGCTTCCATTAAAAGAGAAGGAAAAAAAAAATGAAGCTTGGATGGAACGGATATTGTTATGCCTAGCCATGAAGGCTCCAAAGTAGGCTTACACGGTAGTTATCATAGGGAGGAAGTAGGGGAAAGTACTTAGCCAAATTTTCACCTATGACGGCATTGAGGTTCTCACTCAGTCAGCCCACGAGTTTGCACAATGCGCATAAGAAAACAATAAAGGCAACAATGTAGATGATTGAAATCAGATTTTTAAGAGTAATCACCCAACTCATTTATTACTCCACAACAATACAAGAAACAAAGGGAATATTGAATGAACACAACAAGTCTGTGTCTCATCAGCCCGAGCGATCATACTTATAAGCCAAAATTCATGTGCAATTAGCACCCTTAACTACTAGAGGGATAAACCCACCTACTATGACCAAAACTACCAGAAATTGCCTTCCATGACCTTTCTCAGTAATTGCCCATACTTTTCACTAATATAGACCACGGAAACTGCCCAAAGTGCATGTCAAACATGTGCTTGACCTGGACACTCAAATTTGTAGACAAGAGCACACTGAATAGCAAGTTGGATCCGTCCATGTCTTACTAAATTCTGCTACCCTGCAACACTTTAACACTGGTCAAACTGAAGCAAAATGCCTACAAGGTGAAAACCTACGTTTGCCTTGCCCATGCTGTTGCACATGTTAGCCTTTAAGAAGTTGACAAACCTTTCCCACCGGAAGAGTTTGACGTCTTCGTTGGAAGAGAATCGAGACTCCTTGATCTTTATCCTCAAATTGCCTCGGATCAACATCCATTTCGTAGGTTGTATCTATCCCGCTAGTGCCTTTCTACTGGACCAGATAATCAGTCCTATTTTTCTTGCTTACTTCCAGTGTTCAATGACCCAAAATCTTTGCCACCTTCTTATTATACTGTTTCTTGATCATATGATAAGCCCTCTTGCCCTGCAAACGATCTTCTCCCATCAAATTTTCATTAAACAGCTTCAAATAGCTTACGTGGAAGTAGGATGAACCTTCAAACGACCAGGTAGCTTCAACCAGTATGCTACCCTTCCCACACATTTGATAACTTCAAATGGACCATCATACTTTTGAACCAGTCCACGATGCATCGTCTTGCTACTGATCTTTTTCCAAATTTGGGGAGTTAATTTCAACATCAATTAACTCCATATCCCTCCTGTTCTGATCAACATACTTCTTCATCAGTTTGGTAGCCTTTGCGAGGCTGTCCTAACTTGCTCGATCATTTCCTACTTGTCTTAAGCAAATTGAACAGCAGCTGGGCACACATTGCGTCCTTCTTGTTTTACGATCTCCAGAGGCGTCTTGGGCATGTGCCGCATAGTCAACTCAGCCGGACACGCCTGTTGCAGAGGATTGATGTAGATTGTAGCAAAATTGAGCTGTATCAAGTAAGGCAACCTAATTTTTTTGACTTGCTAACACATAATGTTTGAGATACTCTTCCAGCAATGCATTTATCCTTTCCATCTGACCATTAGTCTGTGGATGATTTGCTGTTGAGAACTTCAATTCACCCATCATGTTGAACAGCATGGTCAAGAACTTGCCTATAAACCAAGAATCTAGATAACTCACAAGATCCTCGGATGTTCCAAATTACTTCACAACGTTTCCAAAGAATAATTCAATAACAACATTTGATGTACATTTGTGCGGAATAGTAATGAAAATCGAATACCTCGAAAATATTTCCACCACCACCATAATGGACTTAAACCAATCTACCTTTGGGAATGCTAAGATAAAATCTATAGAATTCAACTGCCAAGGTTGTTCTGGAACTGGCAAAGCGTGGAGCAATCCTGTCTCTTTCCTCCTTTCTGTTTTATCTTGTTGGCATACCAAGCAAGATTTCACATATGCCTTGGCCTATTTACCCATCTTTGACCAGTAATGCGATTCAAGAGTAGAGCTAACATCCTTCCGATGATTGGATGGCCTGCCCATTCTGGATCATGAGTTTCCTTCAATAGTTCTTGCCTTAATCCCCCACCTGAAGACACATATAGTCTACTGCCTTTAGCATAGATCAAACCATCTACAACCCAATACCGTCTCACCAAGCCATCTTTGATTTCCTAGGACAACTCGGCATAAGCAGTAGCATTTTCAACCCACTATTTGATTTTATCAAGAAAATTAAATTCAACCATCATCAAAGCCGAAAATAAGCTTCCAAAGATTTTTGACTAAGTGCATCAGCAACTTGATTCTACTTGCTTGGTTTATGAACCCATACAAAATCAAACTTGGCCAAGAATTCCTGTCATCTAGCTTGTTTTGCAGCTTGTTTTGCCGACAACTTCTTTTGGGACCTGAAGTATATATTGGCTATATTATCTGTTAGAATGGTGAATTTCATTCTTAACAAATAATGGCATCAAGTTTCAAGACAATGGACAACCGCTGTCATCTCTTTCTCATGAGTTGAGTAACGTTGTTCTGTGTCTTTCAGTTTCCGACTTTCATAGGTGATCGGATGGCCCTCCCGTAGCAATATACCCCTAATAGCATGGTCAGAGGCATCGGTATGTACCTCAAATGGCTTCTCAAAATCAGGCAACTGCAGCACCGGCTTAATAGAGATAGCCTATTTTAACTCTCAAAAGCTCATTGGCACTCATCGGTCCATTTCCATTTTCGATCTTTTTTTCAACAAGTTGTCAAGATGTTCACTTTCTTGGAATAGCTTTGAATGAAACGTCGATAATAGTTAACTAATCGAAGAAATGAACGTAGTTTAGCAACCTTAGATGGGCTTGGTCACTCCAAAATGGTGTTTACCTTCTTTCCATCCATTTTGACCTTTCATTAACCCACCCAATGTCCTAAGAACATTACCTCCAAAGGGAGAAATTCACACCTCTCTTTCTTGACATACAATTGGTGTTAAGCCTTGTTTTCAAGTGGGCAACATGATCACCTAATGATTGACTATATACCACAATATCATCCAAGTATACCACCACAAAATTATCCAAAAACTCGTGTAGCACATCATTCATCAGATTGCAAAATGTAGCAGGTGCATTCGTAAGCTTGAAGGGCATAACTAGGAACTCAAAGGAACCATATCATATCACGCAGGCAGCCTTCGCTTCACCCCCTTTAGCCATCCTTCCTTGCTAATATCTCGATCGCAAGTTTAGCTTGGGAAAGAAAGAAATTTTAGCCAACTGATCAAATAAATCAGCAACATTAGGCACAGAGAATTTGTTCTTCACCATCACCTTATTCAGGGTACGATAATTCACACACATCCTCATAGAACCATAATGCTTTTTCTGAAATAGAACTGGGACACCGTAAGGAGCTTTCAAAGGCTGAATTAAACCCGCATCAAGTAAATCATCAAGCTGTCTCCTTAACTCTGCCAACTCAGATGAAGCCATTCGATATGGGGCTGCGCAGGAGCTTTTGCACCTAGTTTGAGTTCAATCTTGTGATCCATAGCACTACAAGGTGGGAAAGTTCTCGGAAGTTCCAGGCATCACATTAGCAATCTCTTCTAAGACACTTGCAACCTGATCAGGCATCTCCACAAATCCTCATTGATTTTCACCAAGGCTACAACGAAAGCCATCTCTCATTTCCTCAGTCCAACTTTGAGCTATTTTGCAGATTGCATATCATCCTGAACTTGCCTTTCTTTGTTCTTGTCAAGATACCTTGCTAGCATAAAGCAATGATTCTCCTCATCTGCAATGTACAACCCATCATATGTGGTACCACGATGCCTTTACCTTGACAAAGAATTCGATACCAAGGATCAAGTAGAAATCATCCAAGGGAACAGTCATTAGATTGCACTTTCCCTCCCGCAAAAGTCATAGCCTTAATTTTCGTAGCCATTTGAATAGTTTCTCAGCAATCCTCGAGCTTAAGAAGTTTTTGGTAGCACCCGTGTTTATCATTGCCAACACTTCCTTACCATCAACAATAACCTGAACGTATATCAAGCTATGTTGCAGTGTAGTAATGGCATTCACGAGTTGCAATGAATTAACTCTAGATGGGGCCTCATTGGGCCTCATTTAAGTTATCATCATTACCTTCTAGCCTTAAGGCATTCAACTTCTCCCTCTTTGGATAGTCCTTTGCATGATAGGGACTGTTGCAAATGAAGTAGTCGCTGAATCCTTTTGACTTAAGTTGGGACAAAACCACCATCGTTCGATTTAGGAGCCTTGAACTTTTCCTTTTTATCTCCATTTTCGATGATCCAACCTTCTTGTCATTGCCTTTTATCTGAGCAGAGGATTTGCTGCTCATCTTATGCTCAACAAGATCGTCCACTGCAACCATGGCTGAAGGAAGATCCTTCACTCCTTGCCTTCGCAATTTCGCCTACGCCCAACTTTATAATCCTGACATAAAATTGAAAAGCTTATCATCATCAGACATATTTTGGATATCCATCATTAGGCTACTAAATTCCTTCAGTATTCCCAGACATAACCCGACTGCCTTAACTTTTTAAGAGACCCACTTGCAACCTAAGCTATGTTATAAGGCAGGAATCGATCCTTCAATTCCTTCTGCAACATTTTCTACGCAACAATCGACAAATGGCCTCTAGTTTGTCATCCTTTACCCGAGTCCGTCACCACAACTTTGCATCGCTCGAAAGATACATCGAAGTGATGTTTACACGCTCATCCTCTGAAAATACAAGCACCTTTGAGTACTGCTCCATATCCTACAGGAAATTCTCCCACTTTTTGGCATTACGAGTACCATTGAATGACGCACCGACTGCATCCCGCAAGTAATACTATTAAGGGTAAATTTTAACAAAGAAATTTCTCTTTCAAGGGCATCAAACCGAGCCTTCGAGCTATCAGTAAGATCCAATAGATCTTTCATGAATGAAGATAGTTTTTTCGTTCACCCTACTAGTATACATTTTGAACTGTGCCTTCAATTTCGTGTGCACATCATTACGTATATGGATTTGTACAGCTAAACTAACTGCACCGTCAGTCATAGGAGCACCAACGAAATCCTCAAATGCAGTAACCCGATCTTTCAGATTCTGACTTGCAGCCATGCCTGCAAACAAAACCTAGTGTCTACACCAACCGGGCTTTGATAGCAATTATCACAAGGACAAAGTTTGGGAGAATACTTAGCCAAATTTTTGCCTATGACGACAGTGAGGTTCTCACTCAGCCAGCCCATGAATTTGCACAATGCGCACAAGAAAACAATAAAGATAACAATCTAGAGGAATGAACACAATTTTTACGGGCACCCAACTTGTTTATTACTCAAAAACAATACAAGAAACAAAGGGAATACTGAAGAAACACAATAAATCTGTGTTTCGGCATCACAAAGCGTCATATTCATAAGCCAAAATTCGTGTGCAGTTAACACTCTTAACTATCAATGAGATAAACCCACCCACTATGGCCAAAACTATCAGCAACTGCCTTCCATGACCTTTCCAGCAACTGCCCATACTTTTCACTAGTATGGACCAAAAATCCGCCCAAACACATATGTTAAACCTGTGCTTGACCTGGACCCTCGAATTTGTGGACTAGAGCACATTGAATAGCAAACTGGATCCGTCCTTGTCTTGCTAAATTCTGCTAACCCGCAACACTTTGACACGGGCAAAACTGAAGGAAAATGCCCACAACCTGAAAGCCCATGTTTGCCTTGCTTTCGAGAATCAATGTATGCATGATCAACACACTTATCGTCAATATTTTAGCATGAGGGCAAGGCGTACGCATGCCATTGCACATGTAAGCCTTTTAGGGGCTGACAATAGTCCACGTGGAGGCATAAGTTAGAGGTTGACTAAAAGTCAACAAAAATCTCGATTGGTTAGAGTGGCAGGGAAAAGAAGTGGCGAATTCAAAAGGAAAGTTTATGAAGTTCTCCATTTTTATGCTCCCTTTGGTTGGAGCTCTCACTAGCTCTTAAAAGATTTGCAAGCAATCTCTAAGAATGATTGATATGATGTTTGTAATAATAAATTTGTCAAGTCTGTCAGCCTAGGTTGTAGGGTGGTTAACATTGTCAATGTGTTAAAGTGTAGTAGACTAGTGATATGATGTTTCAACCTAGGAGATGAAGCCATGTGCTTCTTCATCCAATGATTACTACTTTGGCTAGACCCCTATAAATACCAACTCTTGTAATACTTGAGTCTAATGCAACTCTTTACACTTAATGTTATTCTATGTATTCTCTCTTGCTTAGTTAAAATTCTTGTTTCTTGAGTTCAGATTACCTTGCTTTGGCTGAGTTGTTTGTGATCGATCATTAATATGCAATCAATCATCTTTAAATATACCATCGGTGTCTAAATATTTTTGTTTTGTGTCATAGAGTATCTTCTACATCTATATAGAGTAAATCAAAATGTGTTGAAATTTGTTGGGTGGGTACGAGTGAGCCGGACATCTATTGTCTACATCACCCTTACATAAAATGAGGTCAACTCTTTGACCGATTATAATCCTATTTCATGTTCAATAAGGATCAAAACTCGATCCTAAAATTTCATTGACCACATTTGCACTCTAATTCTTAGAAGATAATTGAGAGCATTGAATCTTTACTATTTTTGCTGCAACTAAGATATCAAAAACGGCCTCCGTCTCTTTTGCTTGATGAAGGCAGAGATGATTCCCAAAATTTTAAAGGCGCTTTGAAAGCATACTATGGTTAAAAGTCTGTTAACTAGCTATCATACTATACCACCTCAAAAGAAAGAGACAAAAAAACTTGTCACAAATTTTCATGCCTCCAATTTTGCCTTTTAGTTTAAGGCTTCAACTTATTCACCTTTTAAGAACCATTCCAATTTATGATTATCTTTCAACCATCCACTGTGCTAAAAGTCCCTATTGCATTTATACAAAACATGGTTCTGCAGATGGTAGATCACTTATTTGATAGAATCAAGCTTTTAATCCCTTTAATCTTTACCTTGGCTTAATCTATTTTACTTCTATTCCTTAGTGCGTGTTTGGACTCTTTGATTTGGCTGCCTTAAGAGTACTACGAAACATTACCAAATGTTAATCTATTCAAACAATAAAGAAAATTACTTACATTATTAATTTTGTTAGCATAATAGCACAATTCGCCTATATGTGGTCTTCTCCAATAATATTGTTATTGATCATATGTAATGCTCCCAATGGGACCACATGGAAGCCTAGTGTTGACACACATGAAAATACAATTAAGAATAAAGAAAGGGATATCGAAGTGCTTTCATCAAATAGTCGAGGCCTAACTGTCGAAGTGCTCTCCTAAATAGTCAAAGTGGTTTTCTCCTTTCTGCCGAACTACTTCACATCCAAAGTTTGTAACTCTTGGAAGTGGGTCTGATAGGCATCTTTTTAGGACTGATTGATGTATCGTCCTTAAATAGATGTTAGGAATGTCAGCTTATGAGTGTAGGCGGCTGATTCCTTGTCAAATGACTGTCAATGTAATTAATGTGAGATAGGATGACACGACACCAGGACCTAGTAGATGAGGCCAAGTTGATCTGATCCAACGAGACCATATCGGCTTGGTAATTATAAATAGCGGTCTTTGTAACATTTTAAGGGAGAGGAATCTTCAGATAGATAAAAAAGGAACTTAGTATTTTCTCCTCCCCACACACATTTTACTCTTTATTACAAGTTCTCTCATTTATAAGTATACATCTTATTTTCCTACTCGAATATGTTTGATCAATAGCTGAATATTTGTTTAAGCTTACAATCAGCATATCGAGGAATATGTCCATGTGTGCATCATTTTGACGGACACCTATTGATATGTTTTTGGAGGTCAATAGATTGGTACCGTCTGTGGGAATAATATAATTTATTGTTGCTGAGCCCAAATTAAATTTGGTGCCAAGTGGACATTTTCTTGTTTTCTTTTATGGTTTTCCATACTATGAAGATTTCATGGAAAACTATAGTTATCCATGTTTCCTACAAGTGCTTGATAAAATGTCTAGCTCAATTTTTTCTTATTCAAAGCCCTTTTTGATCATATTTATTATATGAAGGGGATCCCTAACTTATAGACTTCTTTTATCTAATGCGGAATTTTATAAGTCCTTGTTCCTTGAATAGAGGAAGAAACAGTATTTTATAAGTCCTCATTCATTGAATAAAGGAAAAGACGATATCGCGGGGTCCTAATTCCTTGAATAAAGGAAGATGCGGCATATTTTGGAGTTCTCTTTCCTTGAATAAAGGAAGAAGCGGTGTTTTGAAGTCCTCCTTCTTTGAATAAAGGAAGAGACAATATTTTATAAGTCCTCATTCTTTGAATAAAGAAAGATGTGGTGTCTTGGGGTCTCATTCCTCAAATAAAGAAAGAGGCAGCATATTTTAGAGTCCTATTTCCTTGAATAAAGAAA